TTCTGCTCCCCACTCTGTCTCTGGTGAATCTTCTCCCCGCACCTGCGCCTCTGGCCTATACCCCAGTTCTGTATGCATAAATAAATATTCTTTTTTTTTAAAGATATATTTTAATTGAGTATACCTTATCTGAAAGGAAAGTGAATCATTTGTAATCCAGCTCCTTGTACAGAGCAATCATGGCCACCTTTTACATTACTCATTCTGTTCCACAAAATTACTGCTACCCATCTCCTGGGTGAGGAGAGTAATTTGGAAGGTAGAAAGTGATGCACACATGTCAATAAGGATGGTTTTGGGGTTGGGAAGCAATTTCCCAGTAACCCCCATCTCCCCCAGTGCTGCCATGAGATGAGCAGCGGTCATTATCTCCTTTTCACTATAGGAAACTAAAGACCAGAGGGAACAATACCCATTGGCTTAGCCTCCAGGACCTACCCAGCACCCCACCACTCCATTCCTCTCCTCTGATGTCATTCTAGGAGTATCAGCTGCATCTTCTCTCTAGCTGTTCCAGCCAGATTCCAGACTGCCTTCCCTTTCTCCTCTCACTCAGCCCCCTTCCCCAACCCCTCAAGCCACCCTCCCCCACTCTCAGGCAGCACAATCAGTTTAAAACTGAATACAGATGAAATCACTGTCCAAACTCTCCAGTGCATAATAAAATCCAGACGCATGACCTCTGTGACACTCATGGCTGTGTTGCTGACCAGTAACCAACCTCTGCTTCTCCACCCCACCCCATACCATTTTATTGAACCCCTAGCTACCTCTACTTTCTGCTTGTTGCTAAAACAGGCCACCACTTGTGATGCTCAGCTATTCTTCCTCCAGGTCTTTGCATGGCTCTCTTCTCCTGGCTTCTGAGGTATCAATTAACTGCCATCTTTGTGCATAAACCTGTCTATCTAAAATAGGCACCCCTTTTCAATTTCTCTTTGCTCCATGGTCCCCCTGCACTGTCTGTCTCCTACTTCTGGGAGGGAAACTGGGAAGGGCTCAGGGCCCTCATGGGTCATGTTAACCACTGCATCTAGCCATTGCCAATGGCTAGATGGGTGCCTAGACCTGAAGCCAGCAGGTGTTCTTTGAACCTAGACCTGAAGCCAGTATAAGCTTCCCTGTTGGCAGTACTTGGTTCAGACCTTAGGAAGTGGAGGTCTGTGATTTTAATGTATTTGCATTCTATTTTGGTAGGAGGAGCTTGGGAATTCTCACCACAGCATGAACTAGTAAAGCCTCAATGGAAGCCCACAGAAGACCCCAAGATAGAAAAGGTAAGAGCTGAAGGTCAGAGTTAGCAGCTGACAGCCTGACTCCATGAGGTGTGGGCCACCCGTTCCTGTTTCCCAGGGACCCAGTCATGCCTTACGTGCATGTCTAGCCCACTCTGTGTTTCAGTTATAGAAATCCCAGATGGGACTTTCCTTCACTGTGTGACAAATTTTAGAATGCTTCCAAATGTTATTAGTTGAGGAAATGAAAATCCACGTTAATGCTGATACAAGCTAAGTGCAAGTATGTGCTATAAAACCACCGACTCTACTGCAATTGATTAAATATTGCCATTGCTGTGTTTGCTGTGCATAATACATGCTTCATTTTATCGAAGAGATAATATACTTTGGGAGAAAAAATGTTGGTCCAAGCTGTTGTTTGGTAAGAGGTGGGTAGGCTTTGGTACTGGGGAATGTCTTTAAATCCAGTTGACTCCAGCAAGGTGGACAAGCTTTCTCAGGGGGAACTGGGAATAAGACAGAAGACTTCTTACACAGAGTACTTCACATTTCATGTGAAGTTTTTGCTTCTGTTTTCCACAATGCTAGTGGGATGTGAAAACGCTGAAAAGGAAGGACTAGTTGTTTGTAACTATTGTTAACAACTGATTGGACTAATTGTTAACAACTATGAAACTTCCAGTTTCTGAAACTTGAGTTTCTTCATTTCAACAGGGCTTAAAGGAAGAAGGCTGGGGGGTGGGTAGTTAGTAGGACTCCTTTGGGTTCAGTAGGTCAGGGATTTATTGCACAATGGGGAAGATCCAGAAGGAGAGAGCTCACACTTCGTGTTGCTGCATCTGGGAAAGTGAATGGAGAAGGAATATGCCCAAAATTGTTGACATTCCAGCTAGAGACATGTAGACATATCCCTTAAATGCTCCAATTTGAATTTCTTTCATCAAAAAGTAGGAAAGGCTGAAAATAGTTTCCGGGGAAAATCTAGACAAATTAAAGAATGGCTATTCTCAAGCAGGTTATTTTTTAAAAATTGAGGTCTTGGATATTCCAGCCTATCCATTATTGCCCAAAGAATGGATCGGATATTTTCATAGAGGCCCCTCTGTGCCCTCCAGATGTGGGATGCCGACATCCTCAGGAAGGGCCTCAGAAACCAGCAGAGCTCCAGATCCTGTCTTTGTTCCCAGCCATTGTCTGCCCATGGGTCATTGTGTTTTATGGGGTTAGTTAGCCCAGTGCCTGGCACCATAGTGTTGTTGAATGAACAAGGGAATGGATGCCAGAGAGAGAGTGAGTAAGAGAAAGAGGGAAAGAGAAGAAGGTGGGTCACACCCTGGCCTCTTATTCTCATTCATGTAATTAATTCATTAATCAACATTAATTCAACACTCGCTCTATACTAGCTATTATACTGCATCTTAAGGGGAATATGGATATGTAGACAGTTTCAATGCCTTATAAAGCAGAAGGTCTATTAATCTACCCACAGAGAGACAGGGATTTGTACCCTTCCTCTGGGGACATCGAAGCAAAAGGCCCACTCCCTGTAGTCGTAGGAGGGGGGGGTGTCTTCCCAGCACAGGGTGCAGAAACAAAAGAAAGGCAGTCAGCGATCTGGTTGGTCAGATACACTGTCTCCACCTTTGCAATATGCTGTTTCATTGTTTTGCTTGAAACGTCCCCTAGAAACAAGGGGCTTGTATTTTAAATATCAGTATCTGAACATCTTCCAGAGCAGAGAGGGATATTTTTGGATTGCACACTTAAAAATACATATTAGTTCTCATGTTGCGGTTTGTATCTCTTTGGGGAAGAGGTGACAAGTGCTTTGATTTGTGTCCACTTTCCTTTTTTGCCTGGGCTGTCACTTTCTTCCCCTCTCCACAGCCCCTTAGAGAAGAGAATTGTTTTTTCTTAAACTGAGACCACAATCCCTATCAGTTATGTGATTGGGCAGGAACCCTGACTGGGGAACTCCCCAGAGTAAAGTGACCAAGGCCAGCGACCAGGGGGAGGTATAGGCAGAGATAAAGGGGAGGGGGCAACAGAAACAGTGAAAGTTATTGGGTAAACTCACCACAAAGTTTTGAAATGTCCCTTCTGAAGTGAAGTAAATAGGATAAATTAGCAAAAAATAGCAAAGGGTAGAGTTGCCCAAGAGACCTGGATCAGAACATTCAGATCTCATCTCAGAAACCTTTGCAGCCCTAAGTCTCGGGGATGCCCCTGATGGGAAGCCGGGGCTGAAGCAAGTAAGAAGAGGAGTGAGGATGCAGGCCCCCAGCTTGGTGGGAACACTGATGGGCCATGTTCTTAGATCAGCCCAAACAAAGCTCTGTGGGTGAACCTGGAAAAGGATAGAACTCTGTTCTAGCAAGGTGGACAGAGACTCAAGGAGTTATTAGTTCCATGGTCTGGAGCCAAAGACCTCAACACCTCAAAGGACTGATCCTGTTTTAAATGTTTAAATGTATAAATATCCTGTTTTAAATAAGTGATTTCTTCCTTCAATAAACAAAACTTCAACTGCCCCAAGTTGAAGCATGGAAAGTTGTTTTGGATTTTCAATTTTTTGAAATTTTCCATAATAACAAGGTTAAAAACATTAAAAAAAAACACTTCTCAAAATATAAAAGCAATTATAAAAACATGGGAAGATGTCAAAATGCAAGTAAAATTAACCCCATTGCCAAGAGGTAACTATGGTAACTTTTTGGTTTATAACCAATTTTTCTTTGTTAGTTTATACTTAAATGAAACTGTATTTTGAGCTGTTATGCTTAATAATTATAATGTCTACGTTCTTGGTAATTCAGGAATTATGAGCATGCCCATTTTACAGCATGCTCCACTGCATTGTGATTTATAACACTTAAACATCTTTGTCACCATTTTTCAGGGTATCTTATTTATTTTTTTTTAAAGATTTATTTATTTATGCATACAGAATTGGGGTACAGGCCAGAGGTGCAGGGGTGGTAAGAGGCTTCATCAGAGGCAGAGTGGGGAGCAGAACAGGCAGATCGATGAAGTACACTGCTGAGGGGAGCAGCGGGCGGGTCAGGAGAGATCTGCCACGCCATGTGGTCACCTCCCAGGGCAGGGATTGAACTCTTGCTGAAGTGGCTTTAGCTTCTTTGTGCGGTGCTTTAACCCACTGTGCCACCAGGGAGGGCTCAGGGTATCTTATTTTTTAAAGTTGGGGATGAGTGTGGGGGGACAGTTACCAGTGATGTTGGGCATAGATTTCAAGCTTATGGTTGTACCTGAATTTACCTATTCTGAATGTGAAGCAGCTTTAGCCATCGGCAAACTTTCTCTTATGTATACGATGTGTCTTCTTTTGGACCTTAACACCGTGGTTGTTATAGGTCCACAATGAAGAGGCTTCCTACAGTATTCTGCTTAATAACCATTATGTAGGAGGATTCCCTGTGTGCCAGACACTGTGAAAAATTCTTTGCATTCATAATCTCACCTAATCTTATAGGGTCGATTGTTAACATCTATTTTATAATGAGGGAGGAAGCTGTCGGAAGGCTTCGAGACATGGCCACAGTCACGCTCAAACAGCACTGGAAGCCAGATATGACACTACACCAGCTTGCTGCTGGGGATGGTGTTTTTTAGTGCCTGCCTTTAAGACATGCACACAAGCACTCACAATGCACTTCAGCCTGGGGTTTCTTTCCTTTGTCTCTTGGGAGAAGGCAAAGGGGGACATGGAGCTTCTGGGACTGCAGTTCTTTCACGTTGGGGCTAGAGAAGCAGAGTAGTTGACCCTTTCTCATTCCTTTTCCCTGGCTCAGTGTCAGAGCACATGCTAGACCCTGTGGCCTTTCCTGGGAGGCTTGACCCCCACTTTTAGGGACTAACTTGCTTTTATTGTTGCTTTTAGCATCCACTTCAAGCTGAGCTCAGGGTAACAGCCGAGGGGCGAGAACTGATCCTGGACCTGAAGAAGAATGAGTAAGTGGACTCGTTCTTTGTCTAGAACCAAACAATTCATTTCCACTCCAGCACCGGACGCAGGTGCTGCTCTCTTGAAAGGAAGCAGTTAGTGGAAGAAACGAAGTTCTCAATCCTTGTCTCCTTTGCAGGGAACTTCTTGCAAAGATGGTGTTTCTACAATCTCTTGATTTGCTGAAAAATTACTGGACTGCATAATATTTTGCTTAACTTTGCTTAGTTGTATTTCCGGGGCTCTTAGAGTTCACTGCAGGACCCCAGGATGTGTGTGTTTGTGTGTGTGTGTGTGAGAGAGAGAGAGAGGAAAAGAGGGAAAGAGAGGTGAGCGAGGGAAAGGGAGGGATGGACTGCATACTCGAGTGGCTGTCTTGCCAGTTCCAGCACAGCGCATGGCAGGAAGTGAAGGAGATTAGAAGGAAGCAGCAGAGAGGAGAGACAAGGTCGAGTATTCTGGGATTTGGCGCCTCAGTCCCTGGCTGTTCCATCTGTTCTGGGTCAGCTAAGTCTGAGATTCTGCCAATAAGGGCATGGTCAGCATCTCCTGGCTGCCTCGGGCCAGCTCCTCCGTCTTCCTAACCTCATTCGTCTTGGGTGGCGGCTTGGCTCAGAGATATTCCATATTGATTTACCATAGAGCATGAACGGTGATTCATGGTGTCAGGCAGATGGACAGACAGAAAACCTAGCTGCTTCTGTTGTCTGTTCTCTGGCCATCCCAGTGGGGTTGGTCACTGAAGAGCTCTCCTTCCTGGGTGGGGGTAGGGAGCCCTGCAAGCCACTGTTATTTCCCCTGCCACCATCCCACTTTCATCCTAGCACAGACCTTGCAGATAAGGCCGCGTGGCTTGGAGCGCTGCCTGCTCCTTTTGGCAGCCTCCGGAGCCCCCTGGAAGCAGATGAGTAATCAAATGCATCACTGCCAAAAAAGCCATGGAGAGGGACCTTCCCATGTCGAGGAGGATGGGAATGGCTGCTCTGCTTGGGTAGAAAGAGAGAAATAAATTATTCCAAATTTGGGCTTTTGGGACATTGCAAAGAAGGCAGCTGTCGGCAGTGTGGAGAAAGTGCAGCCCCAGTAGCATTCCGGTGCTGAGTCTCGGCCTTGTCTCCTCTGCCTCCTGTCCGCAGTGGCCTTGGTTCCCCAGAAAGCCGGGCAGCTCAGTCATGTCACTGCTTTCCTCTGAAAATATAACTGGTCCAGGGATGTGTTCCTTTTTCCATTTCCCCTTTAACACACCTGGCTGGTTGCATCCCCTGTGAAGGGTACCGAATCTGTCTGGCAGGATTTCTTGCCTGATCTTCCTCTGGTCCTGCAGGAAAACCCACAGAGGTTCTCTTCCTATTTCTCTCAGGGTTCTGCTCTGCTTTCTCTTGGCCCAGCCCTGGGCCGCTTGGAGCATTTAGTCCTTGAACTTCCTCCAGAGAGCCAGGGGATGGGTCCGGTATCACGGGGTATATGCTTAGGAATTGGACTGGTCAAGTAGGGACCCAGGATTTGAGTCCTTGTCCTTCCCTCCTGTCTTGGTACCTTTGCAAGAGGTTGTAGAAAGTCAGAGCAGGGGGACCCTCCTCAGTGGTACAACGGATTAGGACACAGTACTACAAGCTGGCCACAGCTGCTTCAATGTGAGTTCCATCCCTGGCGCCGGAGGTGACCCACATGGCACAGCAGACCTCTCCTGACTCGCCCGCTGCTCCCCTCAGTGTACATCATTGATCTGCCTGTTCTGCACCCCATTCTGTGGCTGGTGAATCCTCTCACCGCCCCTGCATCTCTGGCTTGTATCCCCAATTTTGTATGCATAAATAAATCTTAAAAAAAAAAAAGGGCCCTCCCTGGTGGCGCAGCGGGTTAAAGTACAGCACTGAGAATCTGAAGCCACTTCCACATGAGTTCGATTCCCGCCTGTCAGGGAGGTGACCACATGGCGTGGCAGACCTCTCCTGATCTGCCCGCTGCTCCCCTCAGCAGTGTACTTCGACAGTCTGCCTGTTCTGCTCCCCACTCTGGCTCTGGTGAAGCCTCTCACTGCCCCTGAGCCTGTGGCCTGTACCCCAGTTCTGTATGAATAAATAAATAAATCTTAAAAAAAAAAAAAAGAAAGTCAGAGCAGAAAGTCTGCTTAAGAAAACACTTAATACAATGGTTTAACATGTGGATGCAATAACTCAGAGAAAGACACTTTTCTAAGGTCACAGGTGAAAGAGTTCAGGTGAAAGAGTTGAGGCCGATCATTTGTATGCTTGGATTGGGTCCAGACTCACAGAAACCTATGTGGGCAAATAGCTACCTCGCTTGTGTCCTCACCTTTACGATGAGGACATTCCTGGTCGCCTCATAGGGTGGTTGTGAGGACTGGAGGAAGTAGACGTGCCCAGAATGCTTACAGAATACAGGGTGGAGATTTCTGCTTGTGAGATGTGATTGTCCCACATGGGGCGACTGAGCAGAGCCAGGTATTGTGCTGTCCACTGCCCCCAGCAGTTCTCCGGCTGTGCAGCAAGCTGCGAAGGCTGGCTATGGTTCCTGACCTTGAGTTGTCAGAGGCAGGAGACTTGACAAAGTGGAAGCAGCACAGCCCATGAAGATGACCTCACCGGGTATTCCTGCTATTCTCGTCTAAATCGGGCTTTTTGTTTTTGAATCCATGTCAGCATGCGGGACCCCAGCTGCACACGGCTTCCCAGCGTGTGTGTTGCCCAGTGCGTCCCCATTCACGCTGAGTGCCGGCCCAGATTCAAAACAGTTCGGGGAGCTGCTGCTTCCTTGCCTTTTTGAGTTGTGTTCGCTTTCTTAGCATCGCTATTTTGTAATACCTGAGGGGAAGTAGGCCCATGCTCGGTGCCTCCTCAGGCTCTGGTGCTAACCTTCCTCCACGGATTTGCCCACTCTTTCCCTCCCCCTGTGCTGCACAGTGTCAGTCCCGGAGTAGAGATAGAGCAGGACGCAAACCAACCAGTGAGTGGACAGTGTATCTGGTGACAAGCTGTGGAGGCAGCAGAGGAGCAGGGCAGGGGAGGCTGAGCTGTTCTGAAGGGCGGTGAGAGGGGCCTGAGTGGTAGGTGATCTCTGAGTCGAGCTCGGAAGGAGCTGATGTGAGCCACGTCACGGGCAGCCTGGTGACATTGTCCAGCAGGCACGGTCAAGTTCCACAACCAGAATGGCTTGTGAAAGTTTCCCCTCCTCCCCTTTTACCTCCACCCCCACACTGGATTCTCGAGTGTTCCTGTATCTGTGGGCAAGGGCCTCTGGGAGCAGAGGGGGAGGGGAAAGCCACATCTAATTTATTTTTCATTGTCCTGAGGTGTCTGGCCTTTTCCCATCAAATCACAGCCCACGTGCTAACACAGAGCCCAGAATAGCAGCAAGCAGGCCTTTAGTGGAATTTGCGCATGGAGACATGGCCAAGAATGGTGAGGACAGAGGAGCACGGGGGATGGGCAGGAGTGAAGAGGGGACAGCAAACAGGCCTGCAGTGCACCAGCAGACGCCCTGAGGCGCCTTTGTTCAATAGCAGGGCAGCCCACAGCCCTTTTCTGCTGTGGAGCAGCTCTGGATAATTGGGTACCATTCCTATGGGAGACCCCTCCCTGTTCTCTAAGCAGGTGAAAAAGAGGGACAGTGCAGGCATTGTCTGAATATGGCTGACCTGTTGGCTAGTCCTGTGTTCAGATCCTAGCTCTGCCACTTATTAGCCATCTGTCCTCCTTAAGGCTCAGTGCCCCTCTCTGGGGTGTAATGAGCGCCTCATACCCTAGAGCCCCGGGGAGGGTGGGTGAGATGTGCAGTATCTCAAGGACCAGGCTAGCATGGGACCCACTGTGCTGGTTCCAGCAAGGTACCATTGCGTGGCTTCCATGCCCATCTGTGGCAATGGCTTGAACCTCTCTTGGCTGTGCAGGTTGTTGTGAAATTCGTAGCCATGCCAGAGTTTAATAAGTGAAGGAGCCTGCTGGCAAGAGTCTGGTGGGCACCTCTGGTTGCGAGGACACACACAGAACTCAGAGGCAGTTTCTGAAGCACATGCACAGGCTGCTGCTTTCATTGGAGGAGAGGGGAGCAGAAAAGCTCTGATATTTACATATTGTTGCATATTTGTTTTTGACCCAACAGTAGGTCACCAAGGTTGTACTCTGCTTTGACCAGGTGTAGCTTACATGTGCTCACACATATGCAAAACGTTGGCCAGTGCACAGCTGTTGTTAGGAGAAGCCTTGTTTGCCACTCGGACAGTGCGGTGGTGCTTAGCTCAGAAAAAGGTAATGTGCAATTGGTTAGTGAGCCTGCTGGCCCTCGGAGGCCTCAGCTTTCTCATCTGTATAGTGGGGCCTTTTGTCCCAGCCAGGTTCTAACACCTTTTCCTGCTCTCCCTCCTTAAAGGACACCATCTGAGTGGAAAGAGGCAAGAAAAGTCCTTGCCTCAGAAGTTTACACTTCAGCTGTGGAGGCTTCCCTGGAAAGAGGGGGGCAGTGGGTAAGCAAATGGCTCCCAAGCATGGACCTTGAGGTTAAGCATATAATGCTAACACTGGACCTACCGTTTGGGCAACACAAACAGTAGAAGGGAAATTATAGGGGGAAATTGCAGGCTTCTATTATCACAACCCACAATTTTGAGGCAGAAATCCATAACACTTTCTTCCTCTATGTAATTTCCCCAGGGCTCTAGGAACCTTTTCACCCACCCAGAAACCATATTTGACCAAAACTGTTCTTGCTGAAATGAAATGACTCGTCCTTAGCTGTCGGCCTCTTGAAAGTTGAAGGTCTCTAGGGAAAGGTTGGCCCTGGCTGTCTCTTCTCCTTTCTCCACTCCTCCTTGAAAGATGGTGTGCTAACCTGTTTAGTGAACAGGCTACAAGTATGTAGGTTGGGTCCCTACATACAAGGTCACCTTCAAAAAGGGCACTTTGCCGGGAACACCTTTGACTGCATAGAGTTAGTCAGTCTTCGAGTAGTATCGTTTGGTCACAACATTGCTGGGGGGAAAAAAAAACCA